CCCCCCCCCCCCCCCCCCCCCCCCCCCCCCCCCCCCCCCCCGCCCCCCCCCCCCCCCCCCCCCCCCCCCCCCCCCCCGCCGCCAAGGGCTGTAACGGTGTACTCGGTGTGCTCAGTTGGTAGAGTCTGTAGGTCTAACTTTCCCTGCGTTTTAGTATTTTGGTGCCCTTTATTTGCCCAGGAAGTCGGCGGTGGTTGGTTGGTTGGTTGGGTGGTGGTGGCGGTAAAATCCAGGTCCTGAGAGGGGAAGAGCCTACAAAGAGGGGGGGGGGGGGCAGAGAGGGGCGATCGACGTGGCCTGTCTCCATCCGAGTCTACTTTTTTTTTTTGTTTTTTCTTTTTTCATTCGTTTTATTTGATTTGATCTATTCTGTTTTATTCTGTTTTATTTCCATAAACCTTGGCCTTACAGAGGAAAATACGGAATCGGTCGAGGTACATACAAGATGAATGTACCTGACCTAGGGATCCCTTCGTCTTACCCCTCTCGTTGATTGTTGATTGTTGTTTGTTTTATTTGATTCCTATTCAACCATCGTAAAAACCCCCACTCAGCTCAATCAAGCAGGGCAATAAGGATCAAACACGGACCCGAACCAGGGTCCAACCCCAAGACATGAGTCGGATTAGCGTGCAATTCTCGTAAAACTGAACAAATAAAACATAACGAAATAAAATCGCACAGGCCAGACAGATAGAACAACATGAAAGAGGGGACGCCACTTAAGAGGGGAAAAACCGCAAATCAGTTCATATCCGGTTTTGGTCGAGGCGGTGGCTTTCTAGACCAAGGTGTTATTCCTGGATAACTTGCCCCTCTTCGTCCCTTTCGCTCGCTCTGGTCCTGACAAGCGAAGCAGGTAGGCAGGTGATAGCCTTTGGTGTATGTACACAGCACTCAGGACGGAGGCGGTAAGTGATGGATTGCGATGGGATGGACAGTCAGTCAGTGTCCCCGCGCTAAGGTAGTATACATTCAGTTGATATGTGCCTGTATCTACATTGGTATTAGGTTTGCAGGGGGTGACCGGGGGCATTTAATAATAGATTAATATCGGATTGTACCCGGTACTTAGCGACTACTTTACTTGAGTTACCCCTGTGCACGGCTGAACACTGTAACTGAACAGTGAACAGTCAACACAGAACGACAATCGGTCTTATCAGGGCGGGGTAACTTCGGTCCCGATGGTCTGGGGAGGAGAGGGGGAGGTACAAGTCAGTTGGGTACCTGCTCTAGCACAGCGCCTAGTTCGCGGTACGCCGAAGGGCGGTATCTTTAGGATGATCCTCTCTATCTGGAACAATCAGTTAACTAGTTAGTGTTAGTAATTCCCAGCCAGGAGTAGGTGTACACAGGTAATTGTCCCAAATTCTATACCTACTACTTACAGTATACCAAAGTCATACTGATCTTATGATCAGATACGGATTCTGGCTCCTATGCCCCCATTTGCCTAATCAGTCCAGGTCCCACCTTTAACTAGGTATCAACCAAACTCCGTCTACTCCGTACTTCATGCTTTTTCCCAGACCGTCCGCCACCCATGAATATATTGAATTTGTCGATCATCCAACCCCAACCAACGGGCCTCTCTTTTCTCCTCCCAATTAGACGTAATCGCCGTTGAATCGTCTTACGTATTACCGCCGGAGATCCCCATCGGCGGGTCCTCGTCGTGATGCTGACGTCTATGATTATCTGGCCACTACGGAGTATTTACTGTTGATCGAATCATATCGATTCTAACGTTGTCGGTGATGGCTGGCCTGGCGGTTTGATTCCTGATTTGTTTCGACGGTCCCTTTTTCTCATTTTTAGATACCCTGTGTAGACCGTACTCCGTAGTGTTGTATGAGGTAAGGTAAGCTAAGCCGGTACCTTGTCATTGCGGCGAGAAAGAAAAAAAGAAAAAAAGAAAAAAAGTGAATCGGCTGATGTGCCCTGTACTTGGTACCTGTCAAATCCAAACCTAAAAATGAGTCGTGGTGGTGGCACTAAAGCGGTGGCAAGTTCTAGTTCTACGGTATGTGGCAGTAACTAAGGGCCTACCCAAGGATTCTATTATCTTGAAGAATTAGAAAAGAAAGAAGAGCAGGAAAGAGAAGAAAAGAAAGCGGTCCAAAACAGGAATCTCTTCACACACACACAAACCCCGGGGCATTGACGATCTGCGCGTCAACATCATGCATCAGAATGGGTGGCAACTGCCAGCGGACTCGACGAGCAACGCGACCCGAAAATAGCCGCCGGACAGTTCATCGAAGGATTGCGATTGCGTTGCCCTTCCATGCTTGCTGATGATGAGTGATGACCCTTCTCCCCCCGTGTCCTCTCTTGTCCTCTCTCCTCTCTTCTCTGTCCTATGTCATAAAATCCCCGAGACGAGACCATCGATGGAACTGATGGCATTTAAATTACTCCTAGTTGTTACTTGTAACTAATTCTTAGAAATTGATGGTTGAGGCTGAGGCTAAATCAGACATGAGAGTTTCCCCTTGGCCACTTGGAGCCGCCCATTGGGCGCATCAGGTCGTACCTAATCCATCAGCTGATGGACCTGCTGTACCTTGCTGACTCGTAGTCCCGTTGATCCCGGACCCTTTTCACATGTCCCCAGTCCGTGCTCTTTTTTTATTTTTTATTATCATGTCGTTCAATTCGCTATCGGTGGGCTATTCGGAGGGCGGCATAAAGGCCTGATAGGATGCGGTGTGAGCGCTGAATACGTTGTATACGGTATGGGCGTTTCGATGCAGATGCAAAGAGGTGTGGCCAGGGAAAAATAAACTGGATCTTTCAGAATGATCTTGTTTTAATATAACCCTGTTGTCGTCTTCGTTATATTATCCCTATAGCACACCCGCCACGGCGCTGACCATCACTGCCGCCTCTCGCTCCCAGTTCCCACTACTACCACTTCCTGCTCCTCCTCCTGATTCTGCGCGTCCTCTTTCGGTTCCGAGAGTCGCCGTCGGAAGTTGGGATCCTCGCAACACGCATTCCTTGATCTCCTTCTTCAGTCGATCCCGGTTAGATCTCAGTGTCCGAGCGGAGACACCCCCTCGGCTAACGATATCCTGGGTGCGCACGGTGAGCGACGAAGCCAGGGATCGCCAGAAGTACGACGGAAGGGATGCGGTATCGAGGGAATTGAGAAGCGGTTGTAGCAGATTGTTCTTGCCACCGTGTTGGACGGACGCAGAGGTGTCGCCTTCGTTGCGGTCGGGAGCCGTCGACGAGGGTAGTAGTGGATGGGACGGCGGTCGGAGATTGCTGAGAATAGCCTCGAGCGCAAAGATGTCCTGACATCGCCCGGACACCTCGGAAAGCGTTCGCTCCAGCGTGGGCAACATGGACAGCGCTCGGGAAAGGTTGTTCAAAGATGTCACAATGGCTGTCTGCATATACCCCTGCAACGTAGAGAGAAGCAGTTCCGGTTGAAATTCTGCCGCCGACCCCAGGCTCTGAGGTACCGGCGACAACAAATACAAAATGGTGACTCCCGAGATCAGTCGCGCCCTCGAATCGCGCGCTTGCTTGTAGCCCGACTGCCCCCCACCCCCGGCGGCGGAGCTGGCGGACATAGAGAATCGATGGATGCCCTGCTGCGCTCTGGACTTGACTATGTTTTCGGCGGGGATGGCGAGCTCCGTTTTCAACGTACGAATGACCTTGACTCGGTCTAATCCATAACCTTCCTCGCCCACTCCCGTGGCCGAGAACATGCGACGTAGACTCACAATCGTGGATGCTGCGCGTTCCAGCGTTCGATAGTCATCCCTGACAGGCGTTGTGGAGGGTACCGTGCTGTCACTACCTGTCATGGCTCCGGGACCACCACCACGACCGTTGATCTCGCTCAGTTGGCCCTCCAACTGTCTGCCGAGAGCCAGGCAGCGTCCGACCGCTCTGGCAAGTCGCACAGTGGCCAGCGATTTCTCTGCAGCTACCCTGGCCTCGTCGGCCGCTTCCCACTTGCGAAGCACCTCCTTTTCCAGCCGCTCGTACCCTTGCGTTACCGAGGATATCTGGTCCTCTGCTTCCTTCAGGACATGTCCTGCGGCGGCGGTTTGATCCCGCGTATGCGTCAACAGCGGCAGGGCCGACTTGGTGGTTAGCGTATGAATGTGGGTGTCGATTTCCTGGAGGTCGAACAGCACCCGTGACAGCGGCGTCGATAGATCCAGCGGTGTATCTGTCGCATTGTTTGTGGCCACAACCAATGAATTGGCAAAGGAGGCGGGAGAGAACTCGGGGTCCAAGAAGGCCTCGTAGTCAATGTATGAGGGTTCTCCTTCCGCCATGGTCAACCTGGTGGATATATACTTGTATATCTCTAGATAATACCAGGAATTGGAGGGAGTGCCCCGATCTATGTAAAAGAAGGAATAAAAAGGAATGTAAGAAGTAGAAGAATAAATAGCTTCAGTTATCACCGAGCTGAGAACCAGCCAATACGGGTTCAAGATAGAAAGATTGAACGGATGATCAATAGTCCTCAAAGCGCAAATTTATTCCAGGGCTAACAGCCAGCAGCAAAATGACATCTCGCCACAAGGATATAGAGCATTGTAAACGGAAGATGCTGAGCGATGGATGTTGATCCGTTCCAGCCATGTGTCGGAACTATGCCGCTTCGGTCTTGTGGCTGAGTCAGCTTGGGTAGTTAGTTATAGATCGGAGGATGCGTTCTCCAAGCGGTATACTACACTGCAATTTCATTCCATGGAGAAGGTCTGGAATATTCACTCTTTTGTAATCTCATGATCAGCGTCAACCAGGCATACCGAGAGACAACTGTCACGCCGCCGTGCTATCGACTGGCAGTCACGTGGGCGGAGGTCTAGACGCTCCGCTGCTCGGGAGAGATTCTTGTCTCCGCCGGCGCAATTCAGGCTCTCCCCATCTCAAGTCGGCAAAGCTCTCGGTGTGTCTGTCCTTCATCTTTCATCAAATCTCTGTCGTCTGTGCTGTGTGGTGATAATTCGGTCTCGGTCACACATAGCTTAGCTCTCTGCCGCCCACCTCGCCGCTGCTCTCGTCTCATCACCCGGTCCTTCTCCCCCTCAACGATGCGCGCCATATAACAAGAGTGACCCGCCGAATAAACAGCTTTGATTCATGCACCCCTTTTCCATCCTCACTCTCGGCATCTTTGTAGCGGGTTACATCACCGCCAGGTGGGATCTTGTTACCCGGTTATACGAACTGGCGATTTTCGCGTGGGATCACGGCGTCGTGGTATGTCTTGCTACGAGGAATTGGCCGCAAACCCGGTCGCGGTTGGGATCGCATTGACTAATTATTATCCCTGTCTCGAATAGACTCGCACAGCGAAGGGCTTTCTGCTGCTTTCGGTTTTTTTCTTCCTACTTGTCCTCCCGATCAACCATTTGGCTACGAGAGAGGGCGAATCGGTACGCCTATTCCCCACACCGAACTAAATCATAGGTGGCCGCCTAATAACCCTCCGCTGTTAGCATCCCCGATACGTGAACCTCGGCGTCTCTGCTCGGGAACAACTTCGCCGCCGCGGTTCTTTCTAGACGCCCTTGAACGATGACAACATGCTCATGAGCGATGGACTACTGCGGGTGTTTTGGCCGTACGATATCCCTCGGTCGTCGTCACCAGGCGTAATAGTGGGATGGCGGAACTCTGAGCTTGACTTCTTTGTGCTTGCAGTATTGGAGGGTGTTGAGGTGTGTTCCATAGTTTATATGGTCCTTGGAATTGGTACGGTGCTGACAGACTGTGATTTGATGTGGTATAGCCTCGAAATGTCGACAATGCTCTTCGCGCCGGTATCCTCTTCCGCAATAGCCCGCACCCGATTGTGCGCATCTTTACACTCTGCGGGCGCTCAGCCATGCATGTGCTAGGGTCGACCAACTCGCATGACCCGCCGACAACTTTCAATCCGTCGCATCTATACGTCAGTACGCAGTCGTCGTGCAAGGTGCCCCGAATCTATTGCCCCCCGGAGACCAATCTGTCCGTTCAAGTGATTATGTTCCACCGACCGCACCCAACTCGAATGGAGTATATGTCGCTAGATCCGATTTCCCTCGCTCTGGGCGACAAGGTCTTTGCGTCAGATAAGTCAGACTCGGTGTCAGATAAGATCGATACCGAAGAGGAGGGGGACAGGTCGCGATCGGGGAAGCTGGTTGAGAAACTCAAGCTGCACACGGTCGTTAAGCATGTCCCGTCGCACAAGGAACAGGCACTGCCCCTGATCGTCAACCAGGTCAACTGTGCATATGAGATGGGGAAGCTCATGGAAAAGAACAGTCATCTGATTGGAATCCGCATCAAGCGCAGCATGAGTGTTGGTGAGCGGGTCGTCGAGTCTGCAACCACCATGTGGGATCTTTTCGTGCTGGGTGTTTCCTATGTGTTCTGGCAGTGGATTTGGCCCGTTGTTACGCGGGTCTTCGTCGTCGGGTTGGTCTTCCATCGCACCGTGGCGGAAGTCGTTCTACAGGTTCTGGAGTGGCGTGCCCGTCCTGATGCGGCCGCGCTGAAAGATATATCAGCGACAGCTCAGCAGGTCGACATTCGGCTTCAGCAGTTCTGCTATTGGCCCATTCAATATGCCAAATTGCGACAGAGGAAAGATAACTGGGAGAGTGTGACGACGAGCCATCCGGACTACATCCGCTTTTACAACAGCTTATGGCTTGTGGCGAACGATGTGATCATTGGAATTGCACTGGGGTCGTACATAATTGACAATGCCAACTGGGTGGCCTTTCAGATCAACTCCATCCTGACGGGCTGGACGGTTGAGGGTCTACAACGTACCATTTCCTGGCTAATGGACTGGCCCGCCGGTCTCAAACTCAACAATGAGCTTGCTGCATTCCTGGGTGATCTGTTCTTGTGGGTTATCGAAAACTGGGCCGGTAAGGATTCCATTCGACGTTCGTCCAATCTGACAACTGACTCTTGGACCAAGCCTGCATTGCGAATTTACAACCTTATCTCTCTCATGTGATATACATCGTCGGATGTTCTTCTTTCGCAGGAGCCAGCATGCCCATCGCACTATTTTCCGATCTCGTGTCCATCCTGACCGTGCATATCTACTCTTTCTACACCGCATCAGCGCGCATCTTCAACTGGCAACTCACCATCATTATATCTCTGTTCCATCTTTTCCGTGGGAAGAAGCGAAATGTGCTCCGCAACCGTATAGATTCTTGCGATTATGACCTCGATCAACTCCTTATCGGCACTATCCTGTTCACAGTCCTTTTCTTCCTTTTACCAACTATCATTGTCTTCTATCTGGCATTTGCATCTGCACGAATGTTGATTATCTCATTGAAAGCGGCCCTTGATACATGGTTGGCGTTTTTGAATCATTTCCCGCTATTTGCACTAATGCTGCGGGTCAAAGACTCCCGTCGACTACCTGGTATGCCGCACACCCCCCATGCAAAACATATGTTGGCTAATATCTTGTGTTTGGTGTAGGCGGAATCCGCTTCGAGCTCCGTGAAGAGTATGACAAATCCTCAGGCAAAGGCTCAACCTCAGTTCCATACATCCACCTCGAGGTATGCAATTCCTAGCCATCTTTGACTACATAACCTTGACATGAATGATTCTAACATGACCCATATAGTCAATCCCCCTCACTCTCCGCGCCATGTTCGACCAGTACTTCCAGCTCGGCCACCGACTTCGCAAACACTATCTCTCTCCGCAGGTCATCTTCTGCCTTTTCACGGGCCGCTTCGTGCCGCCCATCCACCGACGGAATCTATACAGCATGCAGTACAGCATGCTTCCTGCCCGCCGGGCCGGAATGGCAGAGGTCTGGTCCATTCTGACACAGCCGCGAAAAACCCATAGCACGGGTAGCGGATCTTCGTCTATGGGCGGGGGGATCGGCAACGCGGCGAATGGTCTCCTCAAAGTGCCTGGGGGGTTTGGACAAGGGGAAATGAGACGGAGAGGACATCGCTGATTTTGATGAGTTAGGTGGGTATAGATAGATATGAATTATGCAGATATTTAATCTAATTCTTTAGTTATGTTGAAGAATAAGATATATTCAATAACAGATATTGTACAGTATATTTAGTCTGGTACTCCATGTATAAATTGAGATCTACCACGCAATATGCAAACTCCATCCTAGTGTACATGCAACCCACAATCAAACATAGAAATACACCTCCAAGCCAGCAAAGGCTTGCTATGCTTAAGAAATATAAGCCGTTTACAATGCCTATGCAACCGACCCGAGACAGACACGGAGGTGAGACATCATCGGCTAGGAAAACCGCGGTTCCGATCATTCCATCCGGAGTAACCAATCCCCTTCCGGAATCAGACGTGACATGTTTTTATCTTCGGCAAGCCTGACGAAGAAAGACCGCCACGTACTTTGGTTTGTTTATGGTAGAGCGGCGAGCGGAGAGAGAGGGGGGACGTCGACTTGAATACCTCGGATTGGAAGGCAGTATGGAGTTACATGTCGATTAGAGCGGAGATATAGTGAGAGATGCTTTCATGACTTCGTTTCAATAGCTTCACGAACTCGGTACTTCAACTTCGCAGGTGCTCGCTGTCGCTTTCCTTGGCGTTGTTTTTCCGTACGTCGTCGAGCATCGAGTCGATTCCTCGCTCTTTTAATGCGGCCTATACGTATTCATGTCTATCGTTAGTTTCTTCTGGGTAAACGATATGGAGTATCGAGGGACTTCAATGGGCATGGGTGTGGATAAATGTATTGTCAAAGAGTCACATACGTTCAGACAAGTCCTGTATTTCGAGAAGAGTTCGTCGCAGTCCTTGGAGGAGGTGTTGCCGCGCAGATACTCTGCAATAGATGTTAGAGGTGGGTTTTATTATCGTGAGGTTTGATTTGAACATAGGATGCAGCGTACTTTCACTGTACCATTTAAGAAAGCAGGTGTCGTATTTCCTAGGATCGGAGGTCATGTTAGTGAAGCCGTTCGGAGGTAGGTTTTCTCTCCGAAGAGGGCAGGTTTACTCTTTGACTTCGTTGCATTCGGGGGCTATCGAGGCGGCCATTTTGAGGGGGTATGAATTGATCGATAAAGTGAGTTGGAGGTGATCTTGAAGGTCTGATTATAAGCAAAGGCCTTGAGGTTATATTGAGTGGCAATGCGGACTGGAAGGAATCGCCTTCGACTCCGATGAAGATGATCGACGCGGCTTATCACTTATCCTGATCCGGTAGGCGGTCGAGTCCACACCGGCGCCACTATTTCTCCACCTCCGACGCGGTCTTTTTTTCTTTCTTTCATCTTCCGAAGCGTGGAGATTGAAAAGGTTGACAGAGATTAGAAAAGAAAAGGAAAAGGAAAAAGAACAAAGCGGGCGCGTGCACAGATCGTCGTGATCTGTCTGTCATTGTCTGCTTCTGCTTTTTTTTTCTCTATTCTCTCTCTGATCACACGATCTATACCAAATATAAGATCTGCGACATCATGGATTCCGCTGCTGATTTCCCTCCGTTCCAGGCCCGGCTGACCTCGTCGCTGGTGCAGATGACGCGCACCGTTGGTCAACTCTCCGCCGAAGATCTCGCTTTCCACCGATCCTCGAGCTCCGAGCTCACCGAGTCTCTGGACGAGCAGAGTGACCGCATTCTGTCTCTTACGTCGTCGATCCTTAAAGCCGCGACGTCCGGCACGGATCTCGCCGCGCCGAGTCTGCAGGATGAGGATTCCATCGAGGATAACTGGCGCGGGGTGGTGGATGTGATCGACGCGTTGCTGGAGAAGGCAGATGCGTGTCTGGATGAGTTCACGGGTGTCATTAAGAGATTGAGTCCGTCGCAACAGGAACAGAGCGCCGCTGCCGCCGCGAAGGCTTCGAAAAAGCCCCCGACCAAGTTCCCCAGCGTGTACGACTACGGACCGTCTAAGATCCCCAAGCCTCAGCTGGAGTTTCAGCGTGCGGTCGATAATACCGATGTCTCGCCTTTCAAGCCCTTGCTGCACAAGAAGGTTCATGCGACGGTACCGTTGGAGAAGTCCGAAGGATATGTGAATCCGTACGAGCCGGAGATTCGCGCCGCAAAGTACCCGCATTCAACGTACGAGGTGTCTCCGCCCGTCGATTACCTGCCGTTTGAATCAACGACTGCTACGTTTGTGGATACTTTGGAGGGTGTGATGGATATGTTGAAGGAACTGAAGAAGGCCAAGGAAATTGCGATTGATTTGGAACATCACGATGTGCACTCGTACCATGGTCTGGTGTCGCTGATGCAGATCAGTACTCGGGACAAGGACTGGGTGGTGGATACGCTGAAGCCGTGGAGGGAGGAACTGCAGGTGCTGAACGAGGTGTTTGCGGACCCCGCGATCCTTAAGGTGCTCCATGGCGCGTCGATGGATATCATCTGGCTGCAGCGTGACCTGGGATTGTACGTTGTCGGCATGTTCGATACGTTCCATGCCGCGTGCGCGCTGAACTATCCCAAGCGCAGTTTGAAGTTTCTGCTGCACAAGATTGTCAACTTCGAGGCCGACAAGAGGTATCAGATGGCCGACTGGAGAGTCCGGCCTCTCCCGACGGGAATGTTCGACTATGCTCGCTCCGATACGCATTACCTTCTTCACATCTACGACCATCTGCGGAACGAGCTGGTCGAGAACTCGGTCCCCGGCCACAACCTCATCGACTACGTTCTAGATCACTCGAAGGACGAGGCTTTGCAGCGCTATGAGCGCCCCGTCTATGACGCTGCTACCGGCCAGGGTCCTGGCGGCTGGTACGACTACTTGTGCCGCAACCCTGCCGTTCTCAGCAAGGAGCAATTTGCCGTTTTCAAGGCGGTGCATCAATGGCGCGACCAGGTCGCCAGAGAGGAAGATGAAGGCGTGCAGTGCGTCTTCCCGAAGCACGTTCTGTTCAAGGTCGCCAACGTCATGCCTGTGGATATGGGCACTCTATTCCGGACGTTGTCTCCAGTAACGCCTATCACCAAAGACCGGGCATCAGACCTACTGGAGACCATCAAACAGGCGAAGATCGAGGGTGCCACGGGACCTGAATGGCGCGACGTCTACGTCAAGCCATCCAAGACCAGGCAGACTGCGCCTAACGCCGACCAAGATCCTCTGACGGACCAAGAGGACCATCCTACCGCTGGCCGCTACGAAGTATCCCAGTTCTGGGGTGGTATCCTCAACTCGCAAGAACCGCTCACACCTCCCGAATACTCCGCCGTCGCCTCCGCCGAGGCCCTTCGACTCTCCCTCCCTCTTCCACCTATGCCGCGAACCGTCTCCGAAGTGCCTCACAGCACGACCTCCGCCGCTGCCGCCGCCGCCACGAAACCCGAACCCACCACACCCACCGAAACCCCCGAGGCACCCGAAAACAAGATCTTCACCGTCAAGGAGCTCGGCGGACCCCGCAAACGCAAAGCCACCCCCGTCGAAACCACGCCGGAAGGACCGCCCCAACTCGACGACATCAGTCAATCCATCGACCTCTCCGAGACTATGCCTAGCAAGAAGCAACGCCGGAAGGAGAAGAAGAACAAGTCCGCCTCCGGACAGAGTACACCCCAGTCCGAGGCCAAGTCCGAGGAGGCGCCGTTTAACTACGAGACGGCGGACTCGGTGCTACACGGCCAGACTACGAAAGGATCAGGTCTGCCTAAGAAAGCGCCGTTTAACCCGTATGCGAAGGCCATGGATGCGCCTTCGGGAGCGCGGAAGCAGAAACGAGAGTTGCCCGGGAAGACGTTTACGTTTAGGTGATTTTATACGGAAGATTTTTGGTCTTTTGCGTTGGAATCGGATGTTTTTTGGAATTCATGGTATAAATGTGGAATTGGTGGATGCACAGGCATGGGTAGAAAAGATGGTTGGTTTCCGAAGTTGTTCATAGCGATACCCTTGAGTTAGAAAGAATGTACGATTTTTCAATCAACATGTCATGCTCCTTACCTTTTCTCAAATGTATTTAATCTCTCAATCTGTAACTCTCCTTTTCATTTCACTCAACTACTATTCTAACTATCTATACAATACTTGTCTCCAATAACATAACATACAAATACCCACATCCCTCACCACCGAAACCAAATTTCAACCTTGCCTGGATGGGGAAGAGAGGACACAATAGAAAGATCCACCTACGCAAGAACCTTCCTCCTCTGTTTGATCATATACGAATACATCATAACAGACCCTAAACAAGACATCATACACATTAGCAACGCAGCCAATCCAATCCAATCCAATCCCACCATCAAGATAAAACACCAATAACAAGACATGAGAAAGACGGAATAACTCACCGGGCCCATAAAGTCCCAAAAAGAAACAAAAGATTCCAAACACGGCGACGCTCTCTGTCGTCGTGGTTGCCTTGTACATGAGCCACCATTCACTGGCTATGCCGATGGGGTAGAGGACAATGAAGAGGGAGTATCTGTATAGGGTAGAGATTAGAGGTTATATTTCATAGACATCTCAACCCTCACAACGAGTGAAAAAGGGTAGGAAATCAACAATCCCATAAAAGGGGAAAGGAAAAGAAAAAAAGAAAAAAAAGAACATACCTCAACCACCTCACCACCCCCCTCTCCAACCCGGACCCCGACAACAACAACACGAAATAAGCATACCGCACCGTATCAGCAGCCGACCAGGCCAGTAGCATACAGGCATACGCGGGCGACGAGGCCGTCACATCCGGAAAGCCGTAATTGATGGCCCAGACTTGGACGGAGCGCGCGAAGACCTGCGTAAAGGTGGTGAAGACGGGGGCGCGCGTGATACCTATTTCTCAATTAATTAGTTACTTTCATTTGGTTTGATGACTTGTGTATGTAATGTATTGTATGTATGTATAAATCTCTTAGTCTAGGTAGAGAAAGATTGAGAAGATTGTTAAGGTGGAAGGGGAATGTTATTACCCGCCGCGGCGTGTAGAATGTCAGCTACAGCGAGAGTTTGGGCCCATCGTGCTTGGGGCTCGAGAGTGGTGTAGATGGAGGTGAGAGTGGAGGGGGATGGAGATAGAGATAGAGAGGGTTGGAGGAGGGGAAGGAAGGGGAGGAGGGTGAGCAGGATGCGGAGCCAGAGGATGGCGCCGAGGGCGTTGTAGGCGAGAAGGTAGGCTTTGGATAGATTCATCGTCAGATTGGGAATTGACTTTTGAGGTTCTTAATCTGAATGGAAGTTTTTTCTATTTTATTTTTCTTTTGGTGAAGAAATCTGGAGAAGAAGCTAACTGACGAACTAATGATTAGTGCAGTTAGTTAGCTTCACATGTGAAGGTCTTTGTCAGCCATTTTGTCAGAAGGTGGTCGGGTAATATACCACCACATACCATCCTCTGGCATAGAAAGTTGAAGATATCCACAGGATGTGATTCTACTAGTAGATGATAGAGTTGAGTACAGTACAATTGACTTTACTATGTCTCTAAATCAAAGAGCGGTGTACACAGCCTCAACCAGGAGGACGGACAAAGTTCAATAGCGGCATCTTGTAGGTCCATATGATCCGCCTTATCTATGGAGTGGTCAAACCGTGCAGCCACTGCCTGTACGGATAGAGAGATATCGACAGAACGACTCTTTGATTACAGAGCATCTACCCTGCAGATCTACATGCACGGAGACAGTTGGATATGTGCATGGACCATATATATGCACATACCTTTGGGTTTGCATACATTCCCGCGTACCACTGCAGCCCCAGACCTACCTTGCTGACCACAGGGAATCCGGCAGACTACATGGACATGGACATGGACATGCAGTTCAGTTTAGTCATGGTGGGCTATGGTGGAAGGCGACCAACAGACATTGAATTAAGGTGTCAGTTTTGATGAGGATGGTCATGTTGCGCTGCACATCTGTAAAATAATTGAACTAAATCCTGTTAGTTAACCATCTGCATGTCATAGGTAATTGCTACAGAAAAAGTGGGAGTTGGGAACCAGGAGATTCCAAGAGAAGAAAGACTGAGACTCAGGAGAAGGACTGAGGAGGTATCACTAATTCTAATCAGAAGGGATTGGCAGTCTGGGGTCTGTGGGTTCAGCTGGAGTGGGTATGCGGAGTCACTGAACATCGTCATATCATGGATGGGGCAGTGGGATGTTGCCGTGGTGGACATCCGTTGTAGATAGTACTCTGTAGGTAGTAGATACGGAGTACACAATACGCAGATGCGTGGAATAACACATTGTGGTATAATATCACCAGCAATATAGACCAGATATTAGATATCAATCCATGCTAGGGTTGCCGCGGGGTCGGGTCAGTTCGCAAACACTAGAGAGACGATAGATAGACGGATGACGATAGTAGATAGGAAGGTCGAATACGAGGTTAACCAGGGACCAGGATGCTGTCCGTGCTCCCCCTTTGTCTCGTACTATTCTGATTTCTTACATGACCGTGGTTAGGGTGCTATTTTCAAGTCTTGGTCCTGGGGATCTCGGGGATTAGCATGGGATACGAACAAGGTAGGTCAGACTCGAGTCGCGGGTTAAAGGAGAAAAAAAGAAAGGCAGTCGAGAAGTGCCGATGCAGCTAGGAAGTAGGTGCGAGGGGCATGACATGTAGCATTGCGCCGATGACTTACGTACTCTAAACCCTCGGGCCTAACCCGGGGTAGCACAAGATGCGCATCCCAGGGGACTTGACGAAAGTTCATCTCCACGCCACGGGAGTACACGGTGCACTCTATACATAGAGTACAGACTGCAGACTTCAGTGTACTCCGTAGGCCAAGCAGGAGTTCACCTGACCCCTGAAACATCCGAGTCTAATGTCTTGTCTGACTCTGGTCCGTTCGTTCAACTGCAGCTAAGGAGGTAGTACGGAGTAGTTAGTGACTAGTTAGTTACCAGGAGTCATGATGTAATGATGTGTTGAAAAGTCACTAAGATAACAGACACTAACTCAATAACTCACTAACGCTCCCTGACCAACTACTCTGTTAGTACTGACTCCGTAGTAGAGCACCCCTAAGTCTCGTCGGTGGGGTGAACCGCCAATGGAGAAAAGGGGATTGTCGGATTGTCCGATGTTCCCTGTCGGTTCAACGGTCTCTCTCAGTCACAGTCTCTCCCTTGAACAAGATGCAGAAAGTACCGAGTACTGGACCGACAGGGGGAAGGGAGTGGGGGAGTACAGTATTTGGAAATCATCCATGCCGACAGACAGGGGGGGGATTGATTATTATGAGCTGAATAAATCCACAGACAGTGTCTACCTGGTCAGTAATCTTCAATCCCTACAGTGTATACAGTATACACTGTACACCACCCAATAATGAATACGTAGTTGAATGGAATATACTTTTTACAGGACACAGTAAGATAGGGGAAGGTGTCACCGACTCAGAGCCTGCAGGAAACTAACCCGCATCGGGGCCATCCTGCTGCGGACGGGCTATTTTTCGACGCAGGTACCAGGCCCCGGCCTGATCAGGCGGGAACATTGGCGCTCCCACCAGGTCGCCCGTTCAGGGTTGGCGCAGTCAGGAACCAAGTCCTGAGATTAGGGGGAGGGGACAGGTTTCATCCTATCCTTGGATCCTGGATCTTATGCGACCCTACGGTTTACCGGTTCACCATGATTATTGTTATTATTATTATTATTAGAAGACTGTTTTATTTCTGTGGCATGGCACGGCATGGTATGAGACGTTGGGTCTCTCCCTGCCTCTCCTTATTCCTTATCAGTGCAAGTCGGTCGGTAATGGTGGGAAGAACTGTGGGTCCCCTTCCCCCCTCTTCAATTCCGTTTGCCTCTGAATAAAACTCCATGATTCAGACCGACATGGGGGGTTCGCCAATGGGAGGCATTCGTTTCACCACACAGACTTCCTGGAGCCCGGGACTATCGATCTACCATCGAGGAAGGCAACTGGGGATTATTAAACTCAACAATAACAGGGAAACAAACAGGATGACGACTCAAAATGTTAATTGCATTATGACAGCGGTAAGTTCGGATACCTACAGATCATGAAGGTTTAATCTACTCATCTACTCCAGACCCTCTACGGAGTAGTGAGGTGCTAGCGAGAGTATCATATAGTAGGACGGCTCCGTTCAATCCGGTAGGTAGGACGATGTACATGACTCCATGTATGTATGTACATCGGTCGATAGACTACTGCAGAATACCATGTGATACTCAACGTTTGAAACAGAAAAGAAAGCATGGAAGAGAAAATAGAAATAACCCAACACGGCATCATCCTTGTCCAGACTCCAGATAGATGACCGCCACAACCACACTGGCAACCGCCTTCCTCCACCTCTCTGCACGGTTGCGTACTCCGTACGGTGTGTGCAGCATCATCAGCATTTAGTGTCGAGTCAATTTTTGATTTTTTTTTTTTTTTAAAAAAAAAAAAAAAAAAGTGGTCGCACCTTCGGCCCCCTTGTCCCTCCCGAACGACCGGAGTGGCGATGTTCGGGTGCCGCGCATTGGGCCAGGGGTAAACGGATGGGGAAAAGGGACTCGAAAGTCGAAACGCCCGCTAACGACGACGCAGGACTCCGTAGGAACTGGTCCTCCCTAGAGGAATGGCTAGTACCGAGTAAGTAGTTGAACACGCTTTTTTATTTTTCATTTTGATTGATTTATTTTGTGTTGGTTCTCTCTTCTCTGTCCTGCCTGACTCCGTACTCCGTAATGCTTTGCGCAACTAACGTGAACTAACAGCTAGTTCAAAGGATTCGACAAGGTACGTGCAGTAGGTGGCTCCGGCGAATGGGGAAATTCCCCTTGCGTCTACGTGCGTTGCACCTTTTGGTGGTTGAATATCGCAGCGATGAAGGATGAAAGACAGCGGGAGACGATCATCCGGGTGACTTCCCTGTTCAGCGGTCGACGTGAGATGATGGAGGGCGGGAGATGCTCCTACGGTGCACTTCATCATGATGGAATTGATTATCTTAGATGAATTCTCTTAGTCAACGACACAGAGTAAATTTTCATTGGATTCATGGCCGGAAAGACGATAAATTAATTTCATCCAACCGTGATTAAACATGCCAATCACCAGGGCTGACCGAGAAGACTAAAAAACAGGACCTTCAATTTCTCCATAATTCTCGCGTGTCGGTCATTGGTCGGTGTTTGTATTTTTCCTATCATTCTTTACTCTGTACTCCGGCAAAGTCTCGATGTTCATAGCAGCATCTATTAACCCTCGTGCAAGGTCCGGGATAAATTTGAAATCCCGCGAGACCGCGACTCGAGGCGATTGAAAGAAAGAAAGGTGATGGTGGGTGTAATTCCCGAATAGGCTTGAATTCAGGCACAGGGATCGTTTGCTGGGTCGGGGGAGTGGAGAAAAATTAATCGTATGCGGTTTGGGACAACCACCTTTTTTTTCGTTTTCTTTTCTTTTCTTTTATTTATTATTAATTTTGTCTTCTTTTTTTGCGGTCCCTGCCATGGATCCTCTAGATATTAACTTACCACCAGATGCAGGGACCGGGGAGATTCAGATTCATCCAAGTCAAAGAGTACGGAGTAGAGAATTATAGAATCCAGATCATACGTACAAATAAAAGAGAGAACACAGTACCCTTTACGGAGTACGGAGTACGAGGGTATACTTACTCCCCAAGACAACGCGGTTCCTGAGTCCTCGCGCTGCAGAAGTGGGCCACCTCCAACCATCGCCCATGTTCCAAGGTCCCTAACGCCCTAAGGGAAAAACCGACCCCCTCCTGCTGCTGCCGCTATTATTATTTGTTCACGTTTCCCCTCCCTATCGTTCATCTTCATTACCTTCTGGTCTTTACTTTACCTTACCAGGCGCCCTTATGCCCTATTAATCTTACACTCCTTCCTCTCCTTCATCGCTTCTCTCTCGACTGTCGTTATTCCTGTCTCATTCTGCCTCGCTTGGTGGATTAATCGCATTCGCTGTGGTTTGCCGTCTCCAACTGTTCGCCATCCACGGCTCTGCATTTCCTGCCTCCTCCCTCTTCCGAATTATCCCATAATTCCTCTGCTTCCTTGCCTCACGCTCCCTACCGTTTGCTCGCCTCGCCAGCTCCAAATTCGCTCGCGTCTTTAATCAATCGTCGTCCGCGACGATCCTCGACCGTTCGGAAATATATCTCGCACACTCCGTCTCGTTTCTTCCGACTT